AAATTGTTTAGCGCATTCGAAAACGCATTTCTTAAGAAATACAAAAATTTTGTTGAATTTAAATTGCCCTCAAAGAAAAATGGACCAATAATTCTGTTGTCAAGTATTCCGCACCACACATTTATTTTATGCGAATACTGTCGCCTTGCGTTGATGATCCACTCTGGATTTTCTGTGCACCAATACCTTGAATTTTGCGATGACACCACGCCATTTGTTGTAAACGTGGCCTCATCGCTAAACAAAATTTCCCTTAAAAAGTTTCTGTTTTCCAAGTATTCACCTTGAGCCCATAAACAGAATTCTAGTCTTCTCTCTTCGTCTCTTGGTTCAAGAGTGTGTAGAAATTTTGGTTTATAGGGTTTAATTTTATTTTTTGTAAGGCACCTTCTAATACATTCTCTTGGAATATTTAAATCTATGGCAGCCGTTCTCAAACTCGAATGAGGGTTATTATGAAAATATTCCACTATTTGATTATTATTTCTAATTTCCCGGCGTGGATTTTGAACTTTTAGAATTTGTTTTGATACACTGCCTGTATCGTTGAATACCTTATTTACCCGGTGAACGGTGCTAGCACTAACCGGAGGCATATCTGGATGCCTGTTATTAAATTCTATAGCCGCTTTTCTTTTCGAAAGAATATTATCGCCAACAAGGCGTACAATTTCAACTTTGTGTCTAACACTTAGTCGTTCCATAATTACACCACTAAATTGCACACTTTTTATAAAATTTTTATAAGCACAAAACTGACAGAAGTAATGCTTTAAATCACTTTTATAGAATTCAATTCTTTTTTTTTATTTCCATGGTTTACTAGATAACTATTTTTTTATTTCCATGGTTACAAATGTAAATAGTTTTTGTATTATTGGCTGTATTTTATTTCCTTTTTTGTCATGGTTTACTCCATCTGATCAAATAAATTCATAAAATATTGTATTTTTCAATTATCTGTAACGGTGTTAATTTGTAACCATTTTTGATGAAATTTGGTATATGCCCATTTCAAAAGGTGCTTAATGCAGTGGAGTACTCAGATTTTTTGTAAAAAAATTCCTAATATGATTTCTTCATTTTTAGCACCTAAAAAGTGAAATAGTAGGCCTTGGTTTTTTTAAAAAAATATCACTCTTTGTCCTAAGGTACAGTTTTTTACGCTCTACAATTAAAAAAAAAATTATCGAAATCGGATAATAAATACAAATTTTACGAGGGTGTTCCGCTTTCAAACGGGTCACACTGTATATTGTATGTGGTTTGAACTTGTCACATCTACTATTTGTAGCCAGGTGATTAAATAAATTATTATTATTAATCCAAATTACGACAGATTCGTCTAATGATAATACGTCTTTGATTCAACGTCCTCATCATCTTCCTCTTCATTTTTTTTTTTTTGGAATCTGATATATTTTTACTGGTATCACTTTTATACCCACTGTTTGGGTATTTACCCTGGGCCGGGATAAATACCCGGATAAATACCCATTTTAGAAATACCTACCCACCTACCCAGCTCCCATCACTGATAACGAATAATAAAAAAGCGGATTATCTTAAAAACACTAAACTTTAGCACAGTTTGATAAGAGTACCCTTTTTGCTTAAAAAGTACAGAGAATAAGAATTTTTATTCAAAAAGTATACTGTCAGAAAAGTTATTGTCATTTTAATCCGTAAAGAATACGTTACAGGGCGGCTACAGTAAAACGGACTCCATAATCGTCTTTCTCATGCCAAAAAACCTCCGTATACCAAATTTGAAAAGAATCGATTGAAATATACGTGTAATATTAAATAAAAATCAATTTAAAAATTTAATTTGAACACCCTGTATTTCCAAAACAAAGCGTTTGTCGACCTATTTTTATATGAAGTTTTTGTGTTAATTTTAAAAGATCTATCGACTGTTAAAGTACTGCTACAAAAACCTGAAATATCCTGTATAATAGAGATAGTATATAATAAATTAGATATATATACAGGGTGTATCTGAATGACTGCAACAAACTTGAAGGGGTGATTCTTTAGGGTAGGTACACACGGTCGATTATTCATCGACGAAACAGTTTAGTTGGATTGGTTTGAAATCGCGATGCATTATCAATTTATAACCGACTAAACTGTTTAGTTGTTCATAAATCGTGTTGTATGCGCACACATATCGATTTCGAAACAACTTGTATTTATATTGTATTAAATATTGAATAATACCTGGAAATAATTCAAGTTTTTAAAATAATGTAATTGAATTACTTTAATATACAGTGTGGTAATTAATCACAATATTGGTATTGCAATACACGATTTGCGTATGATGCGTATTGCACTCTGATATTAGTTGCATACTTGCAATGATGACGTCGGGTACGATAATTAATTAACACACTGTATTTAGTGTAGTATATAATTAACTGCGGTAGCAAAACGGAAAATAATTTAACTTAATTTTTGATTTTAACTTATCAATGATAAGTGAATTTATTATTTTATGATAAGTTATCATAAACTTGATTTATGTTATACTAGAGAAGACACTTCAACTCTCAGTAAACTTGACCTTGAGGTTGCGCGCGCAACCTAAGTTCCTATCAACTGTGTGTGCGCTTCAATATGAAGCTGTGGCATTATTGCAGTTGTACGATAGTTGCACAACTTTTTAATCATAAGTGCACATCGACTCCTTTTGATTAAAAAATCGAGTTGATCTGCAGTTGTGTTGTGTGCGCAGCTACATTAAACTTAATACATTTATGTCCATCGACTAAACTATCGGCCGACTAAAAATCGACCATGTGTGCCTACCCTTAAACATATTCCCCAAATTTCATTTTCCTAGCGTTTATGGTTTTTGAGAAAAACAAATTAAACCAAAATTTTCCGCCATTTTTGGAGGGGTGTAGCTCCTTAGGGGAGCCGAAGTCGCCCATGGTTCATATATCAAAGTACCCTTAAAATTCACTAAAGAATCACCCCTTCAAGTTTGTTGCAGTCATTCAGATACACCCTGTATATATAATTATATATACAGGTGTACAAAAAGTATGGAATAATTGTTCTACAGCCTAAACTTCAACTTATATTAAAAAAAGTTTTAAATAAAAGTTACTTGAAACTATTTTCCGCATATCTTGGCGTAGAAATACAATAAAAATGATGACGGCCGTTTGAGTTACGACATGGTGAATCCCCATATGCAATTTTTCAATGAACTGCCTAAGTCTGACGTCACGGATATGGGCGGAGCTTATACTGACTTCAAACAATTTCGTTGGTAATGATAAATCGCCAAAAAATGTCATTTGAAATGTCATCACTTAGTTTATTTTATTTTAACATTAATGAAAAATTGCATATGGTGACTTACCGTTAGCAACGAAAATGTTTGGAGTCGGTATAAGCTCCGCCCATCCCTGTGACGTCAAGGCTTAGGTTGTCTATTCCATAATGGCGCCATAATTTGGTTGTCGCTTCAATATCTCGAAAACTTTGTAGTTTAAAGCATTAAAACCTTATGGCATTTTGCAACACCTTGTCAAAAGGAATCCAAAAACCTTAAAATATACAGGATGGTCCATTTAAAAATCAATTCATTTACTTTTATTTACAACTTTTTTTAATTTAAGTTTAGGCTGTAAAACCATTATTCCATACATTTTTGTACACCCTGTATAACATTAAATAATTATTCGATCGTTTTTTATAAAAAAGATCGTCTCACGAATAATTATTTAATATTAAAATAATTATATAATATGATATTATTAATAATAATTATCGGTACGATATTATTAATTATCGTACCCGACGTATGCTACCAAATACGCAAATCGCGTATTTCAATACCTATACTGTGATATTGGTTGCATACTTGCAATAATAACGTGGGGTACGATAATTAATTAATTAATTAATTAACACACTGTATATGATAATAACCTATTAGGGTCATCTTTTGTTAGTCAAGCTGTTCCAAATAATTTAATTTAGCTCTAATTTTTTTTTATTTTTGTCAAATAATGTATCATACAATGAAATCTCTACAAAAAAAATCTTATTCTACTTCATCCACAATTTCATCTCCTTTATCTTCAGTGTTCTCCTCCCCATCATCCTGATTTTCAATTTCATCCTGAAAATCAACTGGTTTTTGTACAACCGAAATGTTCTCTTCCATCTGTTGTTTCTGTTCTTGAACAATTTGCATTTCATATTCTTGCAATTCCCTTATTTGATCTTGCAACAGTCCATATTTTTGTTGCAACTCCCTTTCTCTTTCCATTTGTCGCGTAACATCTTCGGTTAACGATTGAATCCTTCTTGGTAAAGCGGCTTTTTCTTGTTCTTGTAAAAATTTGAAAGTGTTTAATTCCAAATGAGCTTGATCTCGTTGCTCGTAAAGTTCTTGTAATTGTTTTATTAAAGTTTGCGCTCTAGTTTGGTAACCGCCGGTTAAAATCCTTAATTTTTTCTCCATTTTTGCGGCGCGTTTCGCTTCTTTTGACATGTGCAATCGGTTTTGTTCTAAACGTTTTTCCAAAGATTCCAGTCGATCTTTTTTGCTGGCTAAATTCGCTCTTGTGTATCTATTTTGATTGGGTAAAAACAAAACCTGACTTAAACATTCCTCCCAAACTTGAGTATAAGCATCCATGGATAAATCACCATGATTCATGCCATGTTTAACAACATCCATTTCTTTTTTTAATAACATTTTCGCCACTTCTAATTCATTTTCGGTTATATTATCATGCGGATTTTGTTCTAAATATGACAGTTGTTGAGCTTGAGATATCGTTTGACGCTTTCCTATTGATTGTAGAGGATTTTTAATTCCATCATAGATCAACATTGTTACCTATTAAATTAATATAAATGAATTTAATATGTAAAGGGGTTTTCATCCATATTGGTTTTTTATGTTTGAAAAATAAAACTGTATTTAATACTCCAATATATTATTATAAATACATAAATAATATATTGGAGTATTAAATACAGTTTTATTTTTCAAACATAAATGAATTTAGATACATTGATGAATTAAATAAATTCTTACCATTTCTTTTTTAATTAATTCTTCAGCTTTTTGCATATCTGTTAATGAATAACTATCACCCGGTGGTCTCAGAACCGCTAAATTGGGTTCTTGAGGTCTTGGAAAATCTCTTTGAATCACTTGACTCCTTAAAGCTAATTCTTTAGCCGCTTTTTCCCTAATTTCTTCCTCCCGGCGCGCATCGACATCGGCCTGATCTTCAATTTGGTGAGTTTTCGCCGTTTCTGGAGTTTCTTCATCGTCGCGTTCGGAAACGACGATTTCGTAATCATTTTTCGGCGCTGGAAGGGTGCTCAACCCCAATTTTAATTGTTCTTTGATGGAAACTTGGTAATTACGATGTTGCGCGGGAGTTGAACCAACTTCTAAGTTATCTTCGGGATTTATGTTTAATTTATCGCGTACTGTAGTTGGGGTAAAATCACCCTGTTGTTGTGCAACGGGAACGATCGCTCCACTTTTTGGGGTCAAAAACCCGATACTTCCTGGAGTATTCGAGCCGCCATCGTTTCGTGCGGATCGAAAAGGGGTCGCTAAAACTGTGTTTGGAGTCGCGGCAACTTGGCTTTGTGGTAAAACCCCGCTAAAATCTGAATTATGTAATGGTGTGTTTAAACCACCTTTTAACGGGGTGTCAACGTGAGTTAGCGCCATTACATTTTGAGCTTCTTGTAGAATTCGATCTGTTTGTGGGGCTGGAGTTCTTGGAGTGGCGGCAACTTGAGGGGTAATTGAATAGTCCGCTAATAAAGTATCGGTTGTTTCAACGCCGCTTTCAGCGGCAGCTTCTCTAGCGACTTCACTTGCTTTACCTAATTTAACAACTTGTTGTAATTCTTGATCGGAAATTTGCGGTTCGGGTAATACTAATTTTGAACGCTTCTTTGCTGGTTCTTGATTATTTAACATTGCCAAAGGGATATCGTTTTCTTTCATTTGTTTTAATTTTTGTTTGTCTTTGCGTCTCTCGCGTTCTTCTTGTTCGCTTCTTAATTCCCCGTCGAGGTTTTGTTGGCGCATTTTCGAGAAATCTGGAGCCATGGGGTCGATAATTTCTTTAGAGGTATCATAAAAACCCAAAGCTGGTTTCTTTGCAAACGGAATTTCCGCGTTGTAATCAACACCACGCTTTTTCTTACGCCTCGATGAAACTTCAATACCCGCGGCGCGAAGTTCCCGACGTTTTTGTAAAGCTGCAAGTCGTCGAGCTTCTTCTAATTGCTTTTCGCGTGCTTTTCTTTTCGCCTTTTTACCTTGGGTGTTTGCTAATCTAGCTCTAGCTTCAGATAGCATCTCCAATTCGTCTTCGTCCATGTCTTTGGGATCAGGTCGAGCTGGTTTTGTTTCGGGGTTAGGATCAATTTCGCCTGGTTTCAATTTTCTGGGGTCATCGGCGGCATCTTCTCCTTCTTCTTTCTTTTGGGCCTGATCCAATAAATATTCGTATCTTTCTAAACATTGAGCGGCTGTTCTCCCGATTATTGGGGCGATGGTTCTCCATTGAGTAGGCATTAATTTCGCTAAATGAAGAAGCTTTTCGTCTTCTTCTCGAGACCATTCCGTTTTTTTAATACTCGGATCTAACCATTCAAACCAACGCGCTTTGCATTGTTTAGCCGATTTTCTATGCAAAAGCGATGCGATTCTTGACCATTGGTTTTTACCATATTTCATTACAGCCGCTTTTAATATCTCATCCTATAACGATTATTTATATTATATTAAGAAAAATTGGTTTAATGAATGCTTTAAAAGTGTACTTACCTCGGTGTTTCTCCAAACACCCCCTTTAATCATAATTCGCGGCATTTTGTTGGTGTTTATTCACTGAAATCGTACAAAATCTGATTAAACAACCGCTTACTTCTCCGCGAGGCCTAAAACAGCTTATTTTATATTTCAAAACGCACCTACAACTTGAAATGTCAAAGCGAATTCCAATATAACCTCAAATTAGTTGTTTGTGATGGAGGTTGTCAATTTCATACCAACCTAAAACAAATAAAAGGACTTTAACCTAAACATTTTTTTATTTTAATTATTAATATTTATAAAAATAATTGGAATTAACTAATTGAAATAAACAATCAAAATTAAATAAATAAATGAGTGAATTGAGCGAAGTTAGTAAAAAAAGAAAGCGGTTATCGATTTGTAACTAACTTAAAGTCGGTGTGATTTAAAACTGTATTAAAATTGAATTGAAAATTAACTTCGGTGATTTCTCTTCTATATAGTAATTTTAATTAGCGTAATTTGCATTATTTGTTTTGTAAAATAGGAAAGTACGTAAAAAGTTTACTTTTTAGTTACAAACTTTCAATTGATATTACTCCAAATTAAATCTTTAATTATGAATTTAGACGAATGGTTTCCTTCAGTATGGGTATAATAATACATATACTGTGAGGAACAATATAAATAAATTGTATTTTCGACAAAATCACCAAAGTTTGAGTTTTGACAACAAATTTAGGGTATTTAGTGTAGTTCAAAAATTCACCGATTCTGAAGTAGATGGCGGGATTAAATTTTACCCTATGATGAATATTATATTGTATGCCGTATTGGTCGAATACGATCGTTTACTCTCTCCAACATTTAACATAAAATAGTCTTTATTTATGTGGGATTATTATAATTATGCATCCAACATAACATTATACCGATTTGCGCCTTATCCACTTGAATAGGCAATTTGCATTACTTGTCACTAGTTTTGACAGCAGCCAATATTTAGCTCTAATTTTTTTTATTTTTGTCAAATGAACAATGAAATCTCTACATAAAAAATCTTATTCTACTTCATCTACAACTTCATTTTTACTATTCTCCTCCCCATCTTCCTGATTTTCGTCAAAATCAACTGGTTTTTGCACAACGGAAATATTCTTTTCCATCTGTTGTTTCTGTTCTTGAACAATTTGGATTTCATATCCTTGCAATTCCTTAAATAATTGGAAATAAATGATTGAAATAAACAATCAAAATTAAATAAATAAATGTGTAAATTGAGCGAAGTTAGTCAAAAAGAAAACTGTAATTGATTTGTAGCTAACTTAAAGTCGGTGTGATTTAAAGCTGTATTAAAATTGTATTAAAATGTTTTAATTATAAAAAATCGCTAAAAATTGTAAAATTCCATTTTAAAGTAACATTTTTTTTAATTTAAATAAAATATATTAGTGATATTTCGTCGTTGACGATTTCTCCCCCTGCTTGTCAAATAAATTTAGGTTAACGTTTCCTGTCAAACTCCTTATGTAGTATTACAAATTGTGTATAAATTTTTGTTTACGTACAAATTAATTTAAATTCCTTTTTTCGAGGAAAAAACCTTTCATATTTATAAAGGGTAAGGTTGTATTATATCTACAAAAATAACTAAAATAAAAACAATAGAATTTTGTTATGCAATTATTGTCAAAATTTATAAATTGGACAGTTAATTGAATTTCTGTTTTCACTTTCACTGTATTTAAAAAAATAATGGCATGGTTTAGACCGTTTTGCAACAGGTACATGTCCTTAAATTAATTCCAAAAAGATGTATAAACAAATTTAAATAAAAAGTTTTGATTGTGGAAACCAAAAATTCTATACATCAAATTGTTTTTTTACTTTTCAGGGGTGAAATTATTAAACGAACGATGACTACTTTCGCCCTAAAAATAAAAACAAAAGTCGGACAAGAGGTAGTAAGAAGTTTAACACCAGATAGTACAATTGCGGACTTGAAAACAGTTTTAGCAAAAATAGGGAACATCCCTGAGAATCGATTATGTGTTTTATCTGGATTTCCACCAAAAGTTCTCGATTTATCAGGTGATGCAAAGACTAGTTTGAAAGAAAAAGGGATAACATCGGGTGACACATTAATTTTAGAAGAAAAAATCGGGAATATCACATCGAATACTAGTGCCTCATCATTAAAAAACGAAGCTGATGAACAATTTGCCTTACAATCAAACTCAACTTGTCCCGGGTTGTTAATGAAGTATGTTGTACCTGCTGATAATTCATGTCTTTTTACAAGCATTCACTTTGTGTTGAATGGGAAAGTTGATGAAACCGGAAGTGTTGCTCCTTGGATGAGAGAATTAATTGCAGAAACCGTGGAAAGAGAGAGTGATGAATTTACAGAGGCTATTTTAGGTAAACCTCCTGCGGAATATTGCAAATGGATTTTGGATGAAAAATCTTGGGGTGGAGCGATTGAACTAGCAATCTTATCAAGTTATTATGGAATTGAAATTGCTGTAGTTGATACAATAAATGCAATAATCAACAGATTTGGTGAAGATAAAAATTATGGAAATCGTGTCTTCTTGCTATTCGATGGGATTCATTACGACCCTTTATATTTAGAACCAACAGATGTAACATAATTTATCCTTATTATTAGATGACATAATAAAATATCATTTTAGGGTGGTCCAATCAAAACAATATTTCCTTCACAAGATGTTAAACTTTTAGAAGAGGCTGAATTATTGGCAAAAGAGGCTAAATCCAGTAGGCAATTCACTGATGTAAATAAGTTTAGATTAAAATGTAACGTTTGTAATATTTTTTTAAACGGGCAGGTCGAAGCACAGTCACACGCTCAGAGTACCGGCCACACGAATTTTGGTGAAGTATAACAATAACTAAAAATACAGTAACTTGTATTGGGGTACAAACTTTTTATTTTCTCTCATCTTCTTAATTAATAATAGATATTTTTATTGTATATTTTGATTATGTTAAAAAGAAATCGACTGCCCTAAAAAAAACTTTTGTTTATTTTAGAAGGAATTTAAGAAAGTTTCATTATATTAATTGAATTATTATTAATTAAATATATCTTTTATTAAATCGAGTGGTTTTCTTTTTATAAATTATACGCAAGAACAACTCAGCATCTCCAACAGAATTTGCTCAATTCTGAACAGCAAGAAAACTTCACCAAATCCACTTTGGAGGATATTTACATCTTGTCGCAGTATTTATTTACTGAACTTGAACTTATTTCTACTTCAACTTTTATGTGAGAACAATTTTAATCTATAAAGTAATAAATTTTAACTTTGTTGATTTATTTTTTGTAGGTTAGGATTGATTTTTGTGGATTCGAGCATTAAAATTGGGGTGGTGGTTAATTCAGATGGTTGAACTAATTGTACTTTATTAAATTGAATTATTAATTAGATTAATTTATGAAAGATTTGATCCAAATCCGAAAATTAACCTTAAATATTTGTTTTAGGTTATGTATAGCAATTCTGATCCTCTTAATGTGATGATATGAGATAAATAACGAGGTTGAGATTAAATAAAGTTGCTTATAAAGGCTAGAATCGCCTAATTGTATCAAAATCATAATTTAAATAGAAATCAAAGAAACTTTTAGAAAAGAAAATCATCACGAGCAACATTTTTAAATCTACCAAAAAATGATAAAATCTAAACTCATGGGCATTGGAGTGGTGGTTAATTCAAATGGTTGAAATAATTCAGGTGGTGTTAAATTAAATTATTAGATTAATTGATGAAAGATTTGATCCGAATCTAAAGATTAACCTTAAATTTTTGTTTTAGGTTATGTATAGCAATTCTGATCCTTTTAATGTCTTGATACGAGATAAATAACAAAGTTGAGATTAAATAAAGTTACTTATAAAGGCTAGAATCGCCTAATTGTATCAAAATCATAATATGAATACAAATTAAAGAAAGTTTTAAACAAGAAAATCATCACGAGCAACATTTTTAAATCTACAAAAAATGATAAAATCTAAACTCATGGGCATTGGAGTGGTGGTTAATTCAAATGGTTAAAATAATTCAGGTGGTGTTAAATTGAATTATTAGATTAATTGATGAAAGATTTGATCCAAATCTAAAAATTAACCTTAAATTTTTGTTTTAGGTTATGTATAGCAAATCTGAACCTCTTAATGTCTTGATATGAGATAAATAATGAGGTTGAGATTAAATAAAGTTACTTATAAAGATTAGAATCGCCTAATTGTATCAAAATCATAATTTGAATAGAAATCAAAGAAAGTTTTAGGAAAGAAAATCATCACGAGCAACATTTTTAAATCTACAAAAAATGATAAAATCTAAAGTCATCAGCATTGAAGTGGTGGTTAATTCAGGTGGTGTTAAATTAAATTATTAGATTAATTGATGAAAGATTTGATCCAAATCCAAAAATTAACCTTAAATTTTTGTTTTAGGTTATGTATAGCATTTCTGATCCTTTTAATGCCTTGATATGCGATAAATAATGAGGTTGAGATTAAATAAAGGCTAGAATCGCCTAATTTTTAACACAATCAACATTTTTAAATCTACAAAAAATGATAAAATCTAAAGGATATGGAAATCTTCGTTAAAGTTATATCTAAATCAAGTCTTTTAAGATAGAATTAATAAAGTTATTAGTTATTATTAGTTGTTGTAAAGCTGTGTATTCCAATCCCAAAGAGTTGAAACGGAAATATCAATATATTTATTATCTTTATTTTATTATCATTTTAATACTATGATTTTAGGCAACACTCCTTACGCATTACAAGGCTAAACATGGCAAGAAATTGCACAATTTTCCAAGAACCACATTTAAGCGACAATAATAAATTTTTTGCATTAGCACTAATAGAAAATCTCTACATAATTCTCTGTATATACTTTGTTTTAGAGAAATTAAAGGTTTATTAATATTTTTTTTAGAAATATCCCGTTTCTACAAAGTTTTAATAAACCACCTCGACATGATTACTCTAAAAAAATTGCTTCATAGTCTTCATTAGAAAGTCATGTACATACATACATATAACGTTACAGACCGCAGATTCTGTACTCAGCCTTGAACCAAAAAATTTCTTAATCAAGCTACTAAATAAAAATAAAGTAAAAAGTTATTATTATTTCATTTTGTTCTAAGAACAAAAAAAACCTTGTGTTCATATTTACAAGGAGGTCATTCACTTACACAAGAAGTGACAAGAAGCTTTAGGAAATTTTAAAACCACCACGTTTAATAAGATTATTTTTACAAATAATTCCTTTTCACTGGAAACTTTTGGAATTTCACTTTTTATTGCTAATCAGAACTTAAAATTGTTGGAAATCGAGGCAATAAATCGTTTGAGAATGTGTTTTTAATAATTTATTTTATTTAATAAACCTTGTTTTTATATATACTTGTTGAAAAAGCGATTTTTAACATCCGCCTAAACATGATAATGCACTTTTCCTTGTAAGTCCCTCATTCCGATTAACATGAATCATGTAATAGTAGAGTGAGAATTAACCTTGACCATTTTCAAAGGCAGGAAGTTACAGTTTAATCTTTTATTTTACAACAGAAATACACTTTGCGAAATTAAAACCCGCCCATTAGTTTTACTCAAACATTTTTCATCTCTTTTTTCTTATCTCAAAACCAAAGACTAACATTTCTTATCAATTCTATGCAAGTCCTTATCATGTTTTTTCAAATAATTCTTTAAAATCATGTAAAGTTTATATTGCACTTACTGTATCTGGAAAAGAATGCTACGACCGGCTTCATGTAAAAGCTGTGGTGGTGGTAAACAGGTTGGTGCCAAGGAATGCGATTCAGTTTGATCAGTTGCCGGCCGGTTTTCAACAATATCAGACGTAAAATTCTCTTCGTCATACTCTAACCATGGGAATCGATCTTTACTACGTTCCAGGAAGTTCGCCATGCAGAGCTGTACTTTTAACAGCAAAAGCCATCGGTTTAGATCTAAATTTAAAGTATACAGATCTTATGAAAGGAGAACATCTTACTCCGGAATTTATACAGGTATAAAAACAACTTTTTTTTAAATAATTTTTTTAATTATCAATTATTGTAGATGAATCCTCAACACACCATCCCTACTTTAAACGATAACGGCTTTTGTTTATGGGAATCCCGAGCCATTATGACTTATTTAATCGAACAGTATGCGAAAAATGATTCTCTTTATCCTAAAGATCCCAAAAAGCGTGCATTGATCGATCAAAGAATGTATTTCGATCAAGGAACTTTATATCAACGTTTTGGCGACTACTATTACCCCGTTATGTTTGCTGGCCAATCTTTTGATCCTGCAAAATTAACAAAATGCTCAGAAGCAATGAAATTCTTTGATACATTCTTACAAAATTCTGATTACGCAGCTGGATCTGAGCTATCTGTGGCTGATTTAACCTTAGCCGCAACCGTAGCAACATATGACGCAGTTGGTTTTGATTTAAGCCCATACACAAATGTTATGAAGTGGTATAATAAAATGAAAGAAATGCCCGGATATGAAGAAGCCAATGGGAAAAATGCTTTATTATTTAAAGAACTATTCGAGACTTTAACTAAGAAGTAAACAACAAACTTATGAGTAAACTTATTATACTCAAAAAAATTGCTTTTTTAATATACACATTGCATTCTTTGAAATAAAATTTATCAATGCTAATTTGTTATACTCTAATTAAAATCATTTAAATAAAGATCTTACATTTCTTATATATATTTTAAAAATATTTATTGAATAACTGAATTTTAATTTTAGTGTTTACTATAAAAATAAAAAGATGTTATGCAATCTTATTAACATTGAGTCAATTTTGGTTGCGCTATTTTCTAATTTACCAACCTTAAACAAACAAGATTTCTAAAAAAAATCAATGTAATTTTACTTCTATTTTTATTTATTAATAGTTTAAATTCGTTTTAAAGCTAATTAAAGTTTTTATTGTTAATTTCGTATTTATATTCACAAAGTTTAATACAAAAATTTATTTTTTGGCATTTAAGGTTATGTCATTAAAATGAAGTGTCAAACGTTCGGGTTACGTTTGAATTGTTGAAGTTATTTTTTACAAAATATGTGTATTTTCTGACTCCCTGTCGTGTTATAAATGCGAAACGAATTAAATATTTTATAAGGTAAGATAAGTAAATAAAATCGAACTTTAATTTAAACAATTTTCTACAATTATTATTACATTACAGGGTCATAAATTGGATGTATAAATTGTGTGTGTTAGTTGTAGATACATCTACCTAGATATTTTATTAATTAAAAACAAGGAGGAAGAAAAATCAAATATAATTCTCTATAACTGAAAGAAAATGATCTAATTTTAGTCTAAAATTTATTCTGGTGGTTGATAGAGGTCGCCCCTTGCAATATAGTTGGTTCTATATTATAGTCGGAGTTGAAAAATATAAAAAGCTCCATCAAATTTAATAAAATCCCGTATATATCCCTTCGAGTGCACTTTGAAAGTCAGTCCACGTAATCCAGCGGTGAAATTTATAGTTTTACAGGCAGTTCGGCGCATCTGTTGCTCGTACAGTACGTCATTTTAGATGCACTTCGAATACGGGGCCCCCAAAACTCTCGAAGAGTTGACCCGGGGAGTCGTAAACTGAGGGGGTATTTCTTCCCTGAGGGGTTCGTCGTAAATCCGTACTCGTCGAACGACGATTTCCGCAAGAAAGGAACAGGGTTGCCTTTTTTTCTTGTAACGAACTTAAGTTTAGGTTTACCGGAGAATTTAAATTTGAATTTCAACGGCCTGAACCCAGAGATAAAACAGGATTAATTATTCAGTCGTCGACACGTTCGGGGTTAATATTTTAGCATTTTGATTGAGTATTTGAAAATTTTGTCGGTTGGAAAAAAACGAGTTAATATTTTTTTCTCCCTCAGTCGTGAAACCTATAATTCACTTATCGGGAGTTGTATCTTTTTCCATTCGACGGATTGTTCGCGTCGGGATTTGCGTCGGGATATTGGGAGCTTAAAAAAATCCGAACTGAAAAATTGAACTTCATTTTCGCGTCGAACGGAAAGTTTTCAAATGCTTTCTTAATATCAATGAAATATTTATTTTTAATAACATTATAAATTGATATCAAACAGTCAGTGTTGTTACATTTCGATTATTTTTGCTTTTTTTTGTTAAAGGAATGTTAATGCAAGTAAAAAGTAAAGAAAAAGGAAGAATATGGACCTGGGAGGTGCCAAATATAAGCTGGAGGGGATTTCTGCTGTGGTTGGAATGAAGGTTTGTGTTTAATATAAGTTGTGGTGTTCCTGGATGTAAATTACCTTTTTGTTGCAGAAATGGTGTATCGAAATGTTGTACCTATTGCCTAAGGTAAGATATTTAAGTAAGACATCAGCAAATTCAGCTTACTCTGATACTTTATTTTAATCAAAATTTAAAATATGTTTTTTAATGTGTGATATTAATAATGTTAGTTATTAATAACTTGCGTTGTATATTTTCTGTTGTTATTCATCGGTGACAATTTCATTTTATAATTTAGAACAAACGTCCGCGTACAAATTAATTAAACAAAAACAGACGCAATATAAAAACACGTTGACGTTGGTGTTTGTATTAAAATTTTCACGATTGTCGCCAAGCTAAACCCAGTTAAACCAGGTCTCCTGTTCGAATTAAAAACGTGTCGAGTTCCCAAAACGCAAAAATCACAAAAAATAAAAAAATATTAACAGAGTTTATAAACGGTGTTGTTTCGTTATCCGTTAGGTCGAAGGTTTTTTGGTGTGTCACGGTTCGACAAAATTGGACTGAACGTATGTTCTGAAATTGACGGGAAATAAATACCCCCGAAACAAATACGTTCGGATATAACATCGGAATATTTTAATTCATTCGGGCAAAACTATGTTTTTTAAAACCACTGATGTTTATTTACAACCATTTAAAAGTTTTTGTAAACAACAAAAATTTGTAATATAAAACTTTTATGCAATTGAATTAAAAAAAAATATTATATCATTTCTGCATTGTTTTAGTTGTTCCATCCACTAGAAAAGCCATAAAACGTTAGAAGTAAGTGGCAAACAGGTCGAGGCTTTTAAAAGTAACGTGCGCCGTCGTAAAATCGTTCTGTTTAAGGCTGAGGCCGCAAATTTTCGTTGCGAAAGCTGAAACTAGCAGAATGCGGGACAGTTACATGGGTATAAGTTTAAAATATCGGTTCGAAAATTCCGGCGCGTTGCCGCTTGGGGCGTAGAAACGTGAAGGGGGTGCATTTATTACTCCAAGTGTGAGAGAAACAACCCCTTGCCTCATATATTCAGACCACCCCCCCGAAATGCCGGATTGTAGGTATATTATTACGTTTGTACTCGGGCCATTTCGCTGGGGTTTCGTCCGAAAATTAATACTGCCGTCTCGTCGACGAAACGACCGTACATTTTCGCCCTTCACCGTGAATAATTTACTCGTTCGCGTTAAGAAAACCAAACCAACAACCCCTCCACCCTTTTAGAAGTCAACGTTCCAACGCACATACATCATCATTAAATGGCATTTTGGAGTAATGGGGGTGCATTTCCGTCGAGAAAACCGAACGCAGCAAAAACAAACACACGAATGCACTTGAGAGAAACTGCAAAGAAACGAATTAAACAAGTATTTAAGATAAATAGATGTACACTAAAGTCAGGACTCGAACAAACAAAAGACTTTTTTTAAGTTGTATTCGTGATGAATGTGACAGGGTGTTTGTCCGTTAATGGAGGGGGATGGAAAATACGTCAAAACAACGTCGCGTGTCGCTCCCATTGTTTGTATTCGACCGATTAAGTTTATCCCCTAATTATCAGCCATTAATCAACCGCAGAGTACGGGAAATCGGAAGCCGGGAGGGTGGTGGTCGATATCGGTATTTGCATGTGTTGAATGTCATCTACCACCCCCTGGAAGACGGACACACTAAATTACGTCGTTTTATAACAATGTCCGAGAGAATCCACGACATGATAAACAGTCTGGCCATTAGGCCATAATCTACGACTTGCTAATGATAAATTGCCACGTCAAACAAGACATACTTAGATTTAAAGTTTACTATTTATTAGTAATCGAGATTTTGACTAAAAATAATCGCATTAAAATAAGATTGGATAATACACTGTTGGAAATAATTCACAAGCACACCCTGTATAATCTGAACGCGTGTCTCTAGCGGAATAAAATTTGGTATGGAAGTAGTACTAAAGTAGTGTAACTTACTCTCACATGGAGAGCGGCACAACTCTGCTGAGAGATGAAACATCAATAGCGAGAGTATCCCCCGTGAGCTTCGCGTACCATCGCTACACGACGTGGCATGGAGTCTATAAGTCGCTGTATTCCACCTCAACTCGCCTCCATAGCACCAAAACGTTAGCCGGGGAAGCCGGATAACGTTGAAGTCTCCGACCAGTCATTTCCCAAACATGTACGATTGGACTCAAATCCGGAAAACGAGCTGACCTAGGAAGCATTCGTATACGATGCTCTTCCACAAAGGTCTGTACAATACGCCTGATGTGCGTTCGGACGTTGTCGTGCATGTATAGGAGACCTGGACGCCGCCGAAAGTAGGGAACCACAACGGACCGTAGCACCTCATCTACGTATCGTTGACCCGTCATGGTCTGCTATACACGCAGCAGACATGTACGTCCACCATGTGTAATAGCACCGCATACCATAATGCTCGGTTGTCGGTGGATAGGGCATTCTTGCACGCACTGCTCGAGTAGACGATCACCACGTCTCCGACGAACTAAAATTCGCGCATCACCGGTGCTCAATTCGAATCTTGATTCGTCGGAAAACAAAATGTCCCTCTACTCGGCAACCCACTAATGCCTAGCGTTGACCCACTCGTGACGTATGCTGCGGTGCTCGGGTGTTACTGGAATCCGCTGTATCGCACGACGCGCGCGCAGTCCACTATCTACCAAACGCTGCCATACAGTTCGCGTAGTGAGTGAGCCTTCCTCTGCCGGTGGCCAAACAGCTCCAAGTTGCCTTGAGGAGGACGCACACGACGCTAAAGCGCTGAGCACAAGAGTGCGATCCTCGTGTGCTGGGGTCGCGCAGGGCCGTCCCGGCCGCGGCTGTAGGTACCTATGTCCTACCTCAGACCATTCTCGCCATGCCCGTTGCACTGCCGATAACGACCGCTCGAGACGACGCGCAATTTCACGGAACGATACACCCTCAATGTACATACCCACAAACATACCTCGCCCAAACTCGCTTAAGTAACGCGATCGCTCATACATTGCGCACAGAGTACGATAACAATGTGGTCCCTCACACCACACTAAAAACGACCGGTATTTTCCATCCACTTCGGTCTCCATAGCGACGGAATGTTCCACTTGGAAGGGTGGCTCAGTCAACAATGCCGCGACGGAACAACTCGAAACTCACTGAATAAACTCGTCTACAGTAAAGCTTTGTGCTCCGCAAATATTATGGATTTATCTTCACGCGTTCAGATTATATAGGGTGTGCTCGTGAATTATTTCCAACAGTGTATTAACGAAAGCGATTGTGATAGAATAAATAAGTGGTTAGGAGAAGAATTACTGTCTTATGAGGTAACACAGTAAGCTTTGACTTAAAACTGCGAGATGCGAATGTCTCTGCGACTCAAATGTCGAAACAAGCTTAATGAAAGACCAGGTACCTACCAGTAGGTAGAGATTTACATCAAATACAAACTATAACCACTAGATCCATTTTCCAGTCTTAGAAAATTGTGCAGGGATCATTTTCACAGCGTTTTCTGCATCAAAGGTGGTATGGCGCTGGAGGAGGTTACCAAAAGGTTCATTTCTGCTTGGAGGAATCTTTGGTCAGAGATAGTTAGGTTGGGTTAGGTTGTAATCGATATTGTCTCGTTAGTTAATGTCTCAAGATTGGAGGTGGATAATAATGATATTAATGTTGTTGAGATGATGACCTAGCTACCTCTCAGCATGCGGCTTTTTTCTTCTTCACCCAACGACCTCCAAGACCACCCATCATCTCTACCTACCAACATCTAGCACTATTCATTATCATAATCAAGCACAACTTCTGCCGCCAATCAGTTCAATCATCCAAAATTCCATTCATTTTACTTTTTTTCCATTTGGATACTATTCCAAGATATGCTGGGTGTCTTCACTCACTCCATACACACACACCTTTGTTACCTTCAGTCGAAATCTTCTCAAATATACATTGAATGGACCATGGCCCATCATCAGCTGAATGCCCTTTCTGGACATGACCACCCCAACAATCCATCGTAAGAACTAATGCTATAATAGTTATTTATATTACAAGTGGGCTAGAAACATAATTACTGTACGAGTGTGAAGAATTGTCGAGTGTAATCACACGAGTACTGTAATTATGCTCTAGCCCACGTGTGATATACAGCATTTTATCTACGACTGCTAAAAATTACTAAAAAATCAATTTCTTTAGAAAAGTCTATTTGACATTTATAAAAATATTTTGAAATGATTGTTGATAATTTTGAATTTGTCAGTTTCAACAACATGTCTTGATCTGACAGATGACGTATTTAGAGCTCTGGATGGGGGAAGATCTACTGTACTTGTGCTTCTTGATTTCAGCAAGGCATTTGATATTTTGAATCATAACCTTTTGTTGGCTATTCTGAGGTTTATTGGTGTTTCTGATTGTGCTGCTTCCTTGTTTCGGAGCTATCTTTCTAACAGGATGCAATCGGTGAAGGTTAAATCCGTTTGTTCTGATCCTTCTACAATTGTAGCAGGTGTACCGCAAGGTTCTATTTTGGGTCCACTTTTATTTAGTATATTCACCAGCAATTTATTTTTAAAGTTAACCTTATGCTCCTATCACTTATATGCGGATGATACACAGCTTTATTTCGACCTCATACCTGGTGAGTTGCCTCATGCATGTGTCAGAATTACTGAGGAATTGGGTCACTTATGTGTGGAGATACAAAGGCATGCTTTTGTGATCAATCCTGACAAGACCCAATGCATCTTATTTACTAAAAAGGGTAATTTATCTGTTAATAAAAATGACATTAACATTAGTATGCTAGGGGAGAAATTAAGAGTGGTGGACTCGGTCAAGAGTTTGGGTGTTGTCATTGATGATAGGCTTACTTTTGGTGATCACATTTGGTCCATGTCTATCTTTTAAGAGTTTGCGAAGAATTCAGGTCGTGCAGAATTCGTGTCTTCGCTTTATTTATAAATTGAGGAGAGGTGATCACGTCTCACAAGCTCTTCAGAATTGTGGTTGGCTGAATATGCGACAGAGATTTGTTTTTCATTACTTGTCTTTTATTCATG